GGAGAGCCGACCGAAGGCTTTCTTGGGTTGCTTGGGAGCGTCTTGGGCCGTTCTCTTTGGGGTCGTCTTGGGCTGTCCTTCGGCGTTTTGGAGGTCCCCCATGGCCAGAACGCGCGGTACCGGGAGCGTTCCGCAGATGTTCCGGGAAGGTGTGGGACCCTCGGGAGGGGGGCGTATGTGTCGAACTTGAAAAAAAGAATCTCTGGAATTCCCATTTTTCCCAACCACTGTGGTGTTGGTCCTCGTTTTGAGGAGACGGTGCCCCGCATTCCTCTCCTGCCCTCCTCCTCCCTCCCCACCCCAAGCCGACCTTTCCCAGGACGGGATCGCTGAAATTCGTTGTCGTCTGTCGTGTCGGTCGTTCGGCGGGTCTTTGGGGCGCTTCTTCGTCGCTGTCGGCCTCGTTGTCGTCGTTCGTCGTCGTCGTCTTCTTCGCCGTCACCGTCCTCGTCGTCGTCGCCGTCGTCCCCGTCGTCCCCGTCGTCGTCGTCGTCCTTGTCCCCCGTGTCTTCACTGCCGCTTCGGAAGAAAAGAGACTGGCCGGCGGAAGGTCGGCCGAAGGCGGCGGAAGCCTTGCTTTCCCTTCCCAGGCACCTCCGCGAGGACAACTGGTCGCAGCGTTGCGGCTCAGGTGCAACAGATGTTCCGCCAGGCCTCCATGTCACTCATGTGGCACTGCTGTGCCTCCCAAACCTTCAGGGGAACGTGCCCTGCCCACTCCACGGTTCGTCAGGTTCCATATGCTTTGAGGCAGGTCATGCCCCCGCCCCCAATACACCCGGGGCGCCGTGCGCGTTCGGTGTGTGTGTGTGTGTGTGTGTGTGTGTGTGTTCAGGACTTTTATGCGCAGAGTTGCTTCATCACATCCCTCCTTCTGGTATCCCTGCCAGGACCGTTGGAGGTTTCCACTGCCCTCGGAACCACCAGCCAGCTGTACGTTGGGGGCTGGAACTTTCTACATTCCAAGTCGGTGTATGGGTGTAACGGCCGCTCCGCTGTTGAATCTCCGTGCCTTTGGTCGTGCCTGCCTATCCGTTTATTTTGGATGTGCCAGGCCACCCGCCGTAGAACGGCAGAGGGGCTGCGTTGACTGGATTTCCTGGCGGTCGGCGGCGGGGGTTCGCGGAAGGACGCGGAAGTAATGCTCTGGACGCGTAAGTAAGGCACTGGTCATTTATGTTTCCTATTTCAGGTGCCCCTGTCAGGACTTTCTGCGCAGCTCCGAGGCTCGAGGTGTCCTCCGCTTGCAGGACGTTGCCGTCGGACCTCCGCTTCGACCCTTCTGCCCTCTTCCCCAAATCCCACCCAGGTGAGGACCACATAGGCTTCACCAGTGAGGACCATCATAGGCCTCACACCCCTTGCGGCTGCCATCATAGGGGCCGCTTGGGTCGCCCTCTCCCACCAATGCACCAATACATTACGGCGTCAGTTGCCAATGGAGGGGCCGAGGACCTCCCTACGGCCCCTCGGCCACTGAAGACGGCCGTAGGGAGGGGTCCAAACGTACCTCCACATCCCCACACCTTTTACACATATATCAACCCTTTCCTCATTTTCCTCCCCCTCCTCCCCTCCTCCCTCCTCCCTGCGATTCACCCACCCGGTACAACGTTTCGTGGCCCCATATGGAGCCCCACCGAAGGTCCCAGTGCTATCGTCCGCATGCGTCCCGCATACCCAGTACAGCGTTTCGTGGCCGCCTCCTCCCTCCTCCCTGCTTTTCACCCATCCAATACAGCGCTTCGTGGCCCCATAGGGAACCCACCAAATGTCCCAGTGCTACCGTCCGCATGCGCCCCGCACACCCAGTACAGCGTTTCTCCCTTCTCCTTGCGTTTCGCCCACCCGGTACAACGTTTCGTGGCCCCATAGGGAGCCCCACCGAAAGTCCCACTGCTACCGTCCGCATGCGTCCCGCACACCCAGTGCAGCGCTTCGTGGCCCCATAGGGCGCCCCACCGAAGGTCCCAGTGCTACCGTCCGCATGCGTCCCGCACACCCAGTACAGCGTTTCGTGGCCCATAGGGAGCCCCACCGACGGCGTTCGCATGCGTCCCGATAACCAACTTCCGCATTTTTACCAACCCAGAACAGCGTTTCGTGGCCCTATAAGGAGCTCCACCGCAGGTCCCAGTGCTACCGTCCGCATGCGTCCCGACCACCCAATTTGGCATTGTCACGCACAAAGTACAAAGTTTCGTGGCCACATAGGGAGATCCGCCGGAGGCACCTGCGCCACCGTCCGCCTGAGTCCCGAAAACCCAATTTGGCATTTTCACTCACCCAGTACAACACATCGTGGCGCCATATGGAGCTCCACCGAAGCCCCCAGCGGGACCGTTTGCGTGGGTCCCGAACACCGAAGGCCCCGGTGCCACCGTCCGCATGCGTCCCGACAAGCCAATTTGGCAGTTTCACCCGCCCAGTACAGCCCTTCGTGGTCCCCATAGGGAGCTCCACCGAAGCCCACAGTGGGACCGCCCGCATGCGTCCCGAAAACCCAATTTGGCATTTTCACCCACCGAGTACAGCACTTCGTGGTCCCAATAAGGAGCTCCACCGAAGCCCCCAGTGGGACCGCCCGCATGCGTCCCACACACCCAATGTGGCATTTTGTTCACCCACCCAGTACAGCGCTTCCTGGCCCCACAGGGAGCTCCACCGAGGCCCCGGTGCCACCGTCCGCATGCGTCCCGAAAACCCAACTTGGCAGTTCCACCCGCCCAGTACAGCGCTTCGTGGCCCAATAGGGAACTCCACCGAAGCCCCCAGTGGGACCGTCCGCATGCGTTCCCCCCACCCAGTGCAGCGCTTCGTGGCCCCATAAGGACCTTCACCGAAGAAGAGATTCACAATTGCGGTACCCACAACTGCATATGGTTGGGTCCTTCGCCAAGATAATTGTTCAAGTTCCTCGGTCTTTGAGCGTTGGAAGCGGGAAAACGTGAGATGGCGAAAACCATGCAAAAAACAAAAAGGAAATGAACGATTTTACCCTTTTCGGGCTCTCTCGGGACGGCTCTCGAAGCTCTCTTAGGGCTCTTTTTGGTGCCTCGTCGGCGCTTTTTTGGAGGCCTCTCAAGGGTCTGGGGTGTGTTGGAGGCCTCTGGGGGGTCCCGGAATCGTCCCGGAGGTCTCTGGATGCCTCCTGCTCCCGCTCTGGGGCTCATCTTGAGCCTGCTCTGGGGTGGTCTGGAGCTGTCCTGGGCGCCTCTTCGGCAATCTTGGGGCCTTCTTGGCCCGTCTTGGAGCCGTCTTGGGAGCCTCTTGTGGGATCCTGGGGCGGTCTTGGGGGCCTCTTCGGCCGTGTTGGAGCGTTGGAAGCATGAAATGGTGAGAAAGCCAAACGCCCTGAAAACAAACAATGATAATTAACGATTGCAGGTTCTCCTGGCGCTCTCGGGAGGCCTCTCGGAGCTCTGCTGAGGTCTCTTGGAGGCCTCCTGGGAGCCTGGAGGGCCGCCCGAAAGCTGTCCTGGGGTGCTTGGGAGCGTCTAGGGCTTTTCTTTTACGTTCTGGGGGCTTCTTGGGTCGTCTTGGGCTGTCCTTGGGCGTTTGGGGGGCTCCCCGGGAGGTCGGGAAGCTAATCCAAATGTGATCGAGGTGGAGGACGTCCCAGGAGGGGGCCCAGCCTATTTATTTATAAATATGTATGTGTATATTGGACCGCAGCTTAATGAACATACTGCGTAGTCAACATATTGCATCGTCGGATGCCTGGGTGTCTCCCTTCTTCCCTGCTCCCTCTCACCCTGAAAAGCAGGGTCCTGGGAGAAACGTGTCAAGGAGGTTTTTCACTGTTTATCGGCCTGCGGAACCCTCCCTGGGCCCAAGGGCCGTCAGAAAACGGCTCAGCACGAGAAGCTGGTCCCCAGGGAAGGCCCCGGACTTTTCTGGAGCGCGCGCGTCTATGTTGATAGGTAGGTCTGACATTCAATGTGTACCGTGTGTCGTGTGTCGTGTGTCGTGTGGTGTATGTGTGTGTGTGTGTGTGTCTGTGTGTTCGACGCGTGTAATAGCAATAGACACGTCCGGACAGTTTGTTTTGAACAAGGCTGTTACATATGCTTAGACATGTCGTGTTTCCCCCCAGACCCGCCTCCTTCATCCTTATCCCACTTCCGTGCCTCCTCCTCCCCGCTGATACGAAGGGCGCCAGTGGCAACGAGCACAGCAAACGCCCAGGTGGCATCGCCGCGCGGAGGCTGCATGCTGCCTTCGCTCCGACATGTCTTCGGTGCCCCCTCCTTCCCTCGCCCTCCTCTCTGCCTCCCCCTCTTCCCTCCCTCGCCCTCCTCCCTCTCACCTGCCTCGCCATCCTCCCTCTTCCCTGCCTCGCCCTTCTCCACCTCTTCCCTCCCTCGCCCTCCTTCCCCTCTTCTCTTCCTCGCTCTCCTCCCTCTCTCCCCCTCCTCCCTCCCTCGCCCTCCTCCCTCCTCCCTCCGTCGCCCTCCTCTCTCCTCCCTCCCTCTTCACTCTTTCCCTCCCCCATCCTCCGCCGACGTCTGCTGCCTCCCGCTCCGAAGTGGCCGCCCTTCGGATGTGGGTGCATGCGTGGAGGGGTGTCTTCGCTTCTCCCCCGGCCCTCAAACGGCACGGGGCGGACCCCTTGAATGCGTGCACGACCGACTGCCCCTCCCCTCCCTCACTCCCTCCTCCTCCTCCTCCTCCTCCTCCTCCTCCTCCTCCTCCCTGCTCTTTCCTACCCCGCCCTCTTTGACCATGACGACTGTTGTCATGATGCGATTGGCTCAGGATGCGTTCCAGGAGCTCTGGTGGATCTAGCGGTACTCGTTTCTGCAGCCCGTGTGGAACACGAGGAAATCTTGGAATCGACAGAATCATTATCATGACCTTGGGCTCCTCCCCGGCCACTCTGCAACACCCCAAATGCCTCCCCAGATTCCGACCCCGCGGAAACTCACGAGGAGCGCCCGCAATCCTCCGGAGGCCGCCGAGAGGCTGCCCGCAGCGGCGCGCGGGCTGAGGCGCGGCGCCCGTGAAGTCGGCGGATCCCCCCAGGACGGCGATGCGCCCGCCCTCCCCCTTGTGTGACCTCGGCTTGGCGCAGCGGGAGGGGGGGGGGGTGCTGGTGCGGAGGGGGCGGCGGAGGGACGGGGAAGGGGGAGAGGTGGAGAGGGCTGGGGAGGGGATGATGGGTGAGGAGGGCGGAGGGTCCTCCTCCTCCTCCTCCTCCTCCTCCTCCTCCTCCTCCTCCTCCTCCAGCTAGAAGTCAATACAAAAACCGTCGGTGGCTGGCACGGACTGCCAATTCCAAGCGCGGAGCGCCGAGGACAGGCGGGCACGGCGGCGGGGGGGTCAGGAGGCAGCAGGGCAAGTGGCAAGAGCGGCAGAAACGACAGGACGTCCGCGCCATCCCACGGGCGTACAACTGGCTCGTGCCGTGACGACCCAGGGCGGTGGTTTCGGACACCGCGTGGATCGAACGAGCAGATCGTTCCACGCGGGTCGGCTCTGAGCCACTGGCGGCGTTCAAGTCTGAGGCCGGCGGCGACACGGCACGAGCCTGCCGTGCTCCCCGCCGCTCCGCCCACCTTGCCAGGGCGGCGCACGGCCGTTGTACAGTATACCATATTTGCGTTACCGAAACCACGATCCTTTGTACACTACGAATTTTAATCCACGGCCCTTTTTGCAAATTACGCTGCGTTCGCGTCCACGATGCTACGCGATGCTCGCGTCCCGAAGCCACGATTGTCAGCAAACTTGCAACGCGAACCGTCAACATTCGTCACATGGCTTTCAGTTTTGGCGATGCACGCCGCAACGTACCAGAATAGCCCTCGCGTGAAGTCCTGGCATTGCTTCATGACGGCGCTCTGGCATGCCCCATTCTAAAAGAGAAAGGGGGGCTGGCGGCAGTGGGCGGAACCCTTGCGGATAACAGCGTTTTGCTCCCGCCTCCACGTCTACCGCCTCTGAAGACCCTTGCCCCAGCCCTGGCAAACTTTTGCCTGAATATCCAGAATCCCTGCACGGTGTTCCGATGATGTCTCATGTTCAGTGGGCTTCGCGGATGACAAGGGAAAAAGTGATGATGCCGTTAAGCGAGCAATACGGTAACCTGAAGGGAGGAGGCCGGCACGCCGGCCGACGCACGCGCGCGCGCGCCGCAGGCTCGCTCCTTTTCTGTTTCCCTAAAGCCAAACAGCTTCAGGTAACATGCAAGCTACAAGCAGTACAGTACACGGCAGCGCAAAGAAGTGAAGGCAACGGGCGGCAGAGTGGTGGTGCGGAAGGAATGCATTGACTCCCCCCGCGGCGGGATGCGTAGGGTCGCCCCGGCCCCCAACCCACCTGGCCTGTACATATGTACAGCCACAGGAGCGAACCCCAACACACCTTTACCGCGTGGCTGTGGTTGCCAGGGGGCGGAATACCGAAACAACCCGACGAGCCCGCCTGAGCTCATATTTTGCCAGCTCGAGCCACAATGCCCATGCGCACCTGGTGCGCCCGCTTCAGGATGAACGTCGGACCGATATCGACGAAGTCGCACGGGTCCTTCCTGTGTTGTATTATCTCTGCCAATCACTTCTCCAATTTCGAGAATCATCCCAGTCATCATTTTTGCGCCAGTTCCACTGGTACTGATATATTGAGCGATCTTCATATATGTCTTCTTCTGCGTGTAATCCACCTGTCTGACTTGTCCTTGCCCTGGCCCTTGTCGGCTGGCCTCGCCTTCGGCGTTGGTGGCGGCGGAGGCTCTGGCAAGGTACGATTACGATTAAACTTGTCGTTGTACTCGTTCAAACTAAACCATCGCCAAATGTTGGTATGATCTGTAATATGCTGATGGCGACGCACATGAACAATATATCATTGAACTTCCCTGTTCTCGTTCTTGTCAGCGTGGTCCTGCGTCGCGTCCCAGCCGCCGTCCAGGGCCGGCCAGGCACCTCCGCCATCGCTCGCGCGGCAGTCTACTTCGGCAATGGGTTCATCAGCCCATGTCCGGACGCGACCTCCATCGACCCAGCCAGTATCACTGCCCGACGCGGCTTAGCCGGTGGGCACAGGGTTGTAAGGGGCAGCCCTATAGGTCTGCCTCTCTGTCCAATTTGTCCTCGGCCCCGATAATGTTCCAGTATACCGCTGAGCTCTCGGCCCCGAGCCGGCAGCGCCGCTCGTGGCTTTGGCTTCCACTACTGTAGTCGTAGCATTCGCGGTGGACCTTGGAGCCTGCGTGGGAGAGTCAGCTGAGCCGCTCTCCTGCTTTGGCTTTTTGAGATCTTGAATCATGCCAATAGCACTATCGGCACTGAAGAATCCAAAACGATTGCTTGACACGCGGACCCTCGCATTGAACGGGGTGTTTGTAGACGTTTGCATGAACGCAATAGCGTTCTGAATACTTCTGCTGTTTTGTCTGACAGTCACCGAAACTTCATTGCCTAATCCGCTGGCCCATTCATGGGGTAGGTCGAATTTTTTTGAGCCCAGGCTCCACTGCCGCATGATTCGAGCACTGGGGGCAGGACGCAGTGCAAGGCCGCCCCTGGCTAGGCCAGGGAGAAACAACAAGAACAGAGTGCGACAGCGCGCGCTGATCTGCCTCCTGCAGGCGAAGGCGCCACGCAAGAGGACACTAGTCCGAGGAATCCCCATTTGAGGTCTCCAACCTGACTAGCGGCTGCACATCGTTCTCTTGACGAAGTGCATCTACAACAGCACGCAAGGAGGACGCGCTAGAAGAAGCGCCCCCCCTCGGGTGGGCACGCCCCAGAGACCCGAGGGGATGGAACGGACCCTGGGCCACGGAGCCCCGTTTGGGAGGGCCCAGGGGGGGCGCAGCAGCAGGCGCAGACAGCGCCGCACCGTGGAGGCCCCACAGCACAGCTGGACTTTGCGCCCTCCCACCCCGACTCACCAGCCGACTCGACCCCGCTCCCCCCAGGAATCGCGGGCGACGAGGACGGGGCCTCCAGCTCGCCCCCGCTGCCGAGGAGGGCTCGCACCCCCTCCTCTTCCTCATCCAGGCGGTGAGGCCAATCATCGCCAGCTGGAGCTCGAGCCCCTCCAGGGCTCACAGGCAGGGGCCCCCCAGACCCAGGGCTTCGCGAGCCCTCCGCTGCCGCGGGCGGGCCCGGCGCACGGCTCTCCGAGCCGAACAAGCCCAAGACAGAACATACATCCACCACGACCGCTCTCCCGAGGCGGTTCGGGTGACACCCTTTGTTGCACGAATCCCGCCAAGCGTATTCGGCATAGCGAGACGGCTTCCCTTGGCACTTCTTGCCGAGGCCGTCGGCCCTCGCCCCAGTGCTGTGGAATCTGCATCGCATGCACGTGAAGAGATGGGATCCGTCCGAGCAAGGAAACGCGAGAATCCTGTGACCGAGAGAAACCAGCACCCCTTTCATCTAACTTGCTGCGGCCTGGGCAGGCACCACCACTAGGGTCGGCACTTCGGCTGCCCAAAAGAGAGACACGGCAGCGCCGCAGCCCATGCCATTCTACCCAATCGCGGTGATTGTCGTAGGAGTAACACGGAGGCTCACGGACAGGGGCAGGAAGCCTGGGAGCGCTCGAGAGGTCCAGCCGAGGCCGCTCGAGAAGGAGGCGCGGGCAGCAAGCTTGCGCACCGTCCTGGCTATGTTAACTTGCCTGTCCACTGACTCCATCTGTTTGGCGCCAACGGGGCGAAGCCCGACAGCGTGTTTAGCAGCCACATCGGCATCATTGTTGCACTTGCGAAACAAATCCGGAGGACTCAGGCCGGCCTCCTCGAGACTCTCATGGGCCGCCACCTTGATGAGCTCCTCAATTCTGGAGCCCTCTCTAGCATTGGCCTCAAGAAGAACCCCACTGTACACCCGCTTGCCCGAATGTCTGGCAGGCGAGGGAAGGTTGGAGTGCCTCACAACGTTCAGACAACCGCTGTAAATAATCGAGCTGTACTTCACAAGCTTGCCAGCCATACCCCTCGCTAGATATTCTCCCGCCTGAGGGGTCTGCGGGCACTGGCCCCGCACAGGACCGCTGACAACACCTAGCAGAGCACCTTGAGAATCGTGAGTGGTGATAGCCCAGGCGGCCCTACAAAGCTCCCAAATAGCATGCCTCAAGCAGGACCCGTCGAGGAACAAGTGGCCCCAGATGGCTCCAACCTGCGCGTCCTCAGGGCCCTCGGGGCCTTCCAGCACGTCCTGATACCACTTGAGCTGGACCTGGCCCTCTTTGCACGGCCTAGGGAGGTAATCGGCGGGATGGGCGATAGCCCCATGGCAAAAGAGGTTGGCCGAGTAGTCAGCAGCCTCAGTGTCCAACGCTGCGGCGATGACGTCTGGATCAGCCACCTCAGCTCTCGAATCTGCGACGTGAGGGCAGACCCGCAGCCGGTGGTGAAGCGAGTTTCTCCCGCCACAAAAAAAACATGCATCACTGATGTCGTATCCACGCATGATGGCGCGATCAGGCGCCCAGATCGCGCCGCGCGCAAGAGCACGGATAAAGCCTTTGTCCCTAGCGGAAAACTTGCTGGAGGAAAGGGCCGGCCGAGGAACGTCGAGGCGCAAGCGAGCCCCCGCGCCCCACTTGTCCCCCAGGTCCCCTTTCCAAGGATCGAAGCAGGGCCTCGCGGCAGTGGATGGCCAACAACGCAGGAGACGTAACCCCTAAAGGAATTCCCCTGCCTCTATCATCGATGATGATGGTCAAGAAATTCGTCATGCGCCACCCAAGCCTGGGCAAGGACAAGCGCATCGCACTGAGGGGCCCAGCCACCGTAGCCCACGTGGTCCTCGGCCGAGCCCAGACGGCTCCCCATGACTCCCGCAAGTCACGGAACGACACAGAACCAGAAAAAAGCTTGGCCTGCGTGAACCACACTTCCTTGCCCCAACGCAGGATGGGCGCGGCGGCCGCCCTCCACGTCGGGTCCGAAGCAAGAATGCAGCAAGCAGTGAAGCCCCCCCCTTGGGCGAAGGGCCGCACTTGTGAAAACGCAGCTCGCCTCATGCTGAGCAGGTCAACATCGCTGACCCCAACAATCTCACGCCCGTAGGTGCCTGAGGCCAAGGGGCCCGCGGA